TTATTGAAATCGAATAATTATAAAGTTATAGTTTTAAAATTTGAATTTTGAAAAGTTTTCTTTAAGTTAAATTTTTTCAACAAATATCTATCTAATTTCAACATAAAAGGTATTATATGGAAGGCCAGAATTAGGGGAATAAATAAAAAAAATTTTAACCCAATTTAATAAATTAGATCATGAGTTATTAGCAAATAAAAATTTACTTAAAAAATACAAATTTTTAGGTGGTCAGATACTTTTGGGAAGTGTACTTTATATTCAAATGTTCTTATCAGGGATAAAACTAATGTTTATAGATATTATTATATACAATTGATAAAAATTTCTGTTCAATTTTCAGATGAGGATGACGTAATTAAATTTGTTAAGACACTTTTATTTTTATAAATATATTATTTACAAATATATTCCTGCTATGCCATGATACAATAACATCATCTTAAAGATTAAAGAAAGGAAGTACAACAGTTACTACACTATGAGATAATTATTTATAGATTTTTATTATATATATTTATCATGTATTTTTATCATATATATATTTTATTAATAAAGATTTTTGATTAAAAAAATATACAATGTATTGTTGCGGTCTGCGCAGAACAAGTGAAAAGTTAAGCCAATTAGTCTCAATAAGTTTGGGTCAATCACACGATAATTCAATGTACTACTAACATACTTTCTCTTGTGTTCAATATCCACAGCAAGACAGGCAATCAGTTGATCTAAACCTGCTTATTAATATTCACAAACAATGCAATTACGTGTAATATCTGAAGGTATGATGAGCAAGTGGAGTAAAAGTATCTTTAACATTTGCTTGCACACTACTAAAACTATTGTAGACTTTTTGATGTAACTTGCCAAGAAATAAAAGAAATAGTTTATTAAAGTTTAATATTGGATATAACAAAAGCAATATATTACTGCTTTGGCGTATCTTATCACTTTTGTTATTCCGCTACACTAAATTTATGTTTGAAATTATTACAAAAATATAAAAGAAATAAAAGAGAATAACAATAGCGATATATTACTGCTTTGGCGTATCTTATCGCTTCGCTAGTCCCGCGACTATATTATTTATTATTATTAAAAAAAGTATTACGAATGAAAAGTAAAATAAACTAAATTAAAATGTTCAAAATATTTAAGTAAAGAAAATAAAAACTAAAATCAAAATTGTTTGAAATATCAAGTAAAATATTTTTATTTTTGGTTCTTGTTCTTTTTGGCAAAAAGGAATCTGTCTTTTCTTTTTTCCTTACCACAGTTATTTTATAATTTTTCTCCTTGTTTACCATCATCCTCTGTCATCCATAAAAACGTTTTCGTGCCAAGATGAATAAACAGTCATCCTGGATAATGGATGACACACAAGGATAATTCATCCAAATAGTGACACATATCATCCTCCATCATCTCCCGTGACTCCAGATATTTTCGTGCTACCTCAGTATTATGTATTACTTTTTGCATAAACCTTTAGGCAATTTTTTGAATCATATATAACAGTAATTTTTCTGGAATAATTTTTTTGACAAACATTGTTTGTTGAAATTTTTCTTGGCAAAAGTCAAGATACAGGTAAATACATCTAATGATAAAGATTTCAACTATGATAATGATGATTCCTTCAATAACAACAAAGATAATAGAAGTTATTGCAATTTCTCTGATAATGATGATGAAAGTTATTATTATGATTTAAATACAGGTAACACTTATACAAAATCGGAATATTCAATCTGCATATATTAGATGCAAAGCATCCTCACTTTGTGAGACTTTAACAAATCCAGTTTACTAATAAATGTTATATAATACAATAAAATTAACTCACGCCTAATATAATATTCTAGATTATGTATTTATGTAAGCCAATTAATAAATGTAATAATATATGTATAAATCATTTTTTTTTCACAATTGATATATGATTATACTACCAATATCTAATTTAAATTAATTTGCGATCATATAAACTTAATCTCCAAATATTTGAAGTGGCAAGCTGAATTTATTGTATCGCCAGGTATTTCGATAGATAAGATTTGTCCCAAGTTATATAAAAGATATAAAAAAGAAACTGGCCTTGATCCTTGAATAAACTCTGAATCTTCACAAACAATAACAAATATATAACCCAAAATTGATTTACTAGAATTTGTGTGACAATCTTTGGAATTTTCACAAACAATGACAAATATGCAATCCAAAATCGATTTACTAGAAATGATTTGGAGATCTTTGGAATCTTCACAATAAATTAGAAAAGGAAATAGATGGATTAAAAAATGAGAATATCAAAATCAAAACCGATAATACAAGTTAAAGCATAACAAAGTTTAAGTTGAAACTGAGAATATAAAGTTAAAACAGGATTTAGATGAATTTAAAAAAGAAATAGAATCTAAGAAAAATTGCAAATTCCAAGCTAAATGTATTCTAATAGCCCAGATACTTCTTAATGAGGAACTTATAGTTGAATATCATCCATCTTTTATGGAAGGATTAGAATTTGATACCTTCTTCCAAAGTAATCAAATCACGTTAGAGGTGCAAGGGGCTCATAGAACTAGCTGGTATAAAGATGTCAAAAAACTTGAGGATGTTGTAAATCGTGATCAGAATAAAGATGTATATGTCAAAATAACAGAATTTTTCTACTTGAGGTATGGTATGATGAAAAATCAGAAATTGTTATTCCAGAAAGGATAATCAAGCTTCTAAAATTTTTGATCTATAATATCCTTCCCACATAGTAAGGATTTTTCGCATATAAACAGTTTTGCGTATAATTTCTATCTGGCAAATTTGTCAAGGATAATACGTATCTCATATCTCCGATATCAATTGACATTCGGATAAATTTACATTTATCTTATGAATTTAATGACATGTAATTGATAAAACCAAAATAGTAACTTCTGATGTAACTTTTACACAATTTGATTAATAAAACCAAAATAGTAACTTATGATGTACTTTTACACAATTTGGTTAATAATAAGGTTGTAGAATATTCCTTCCTTACAATTGTATAAAGATCAAAAAAAAAGTAAATATTAAAAATTCTCTTCTCTATAATATTAATTAAAATAAGAATTTTTCAATCGATTAACGAACAAATCCATTTTTTTTATGAATCGAAAAAATACAAATAATTTATTATATACAATAATTGTTGTAGCCAATCTTCCAGTAATTATTTTTTTATTATCATTCTTTTCTCGGATTGCAACAAATAACAATAATCTAAGCCTTTTCAGTTCTTTCCTGTTTATTTCTTGATTGCCTTAATTGCTTACTTCGGTTATCTCCTTACCTGGATTCTGAAAAGCCTTGTAATACACTTTTTCAATATGGGAACTATTACCGATATGGGATCTAAAGGCTCTTTCCGCATTCAGGTATTTTGTAACGTTATACAAAACTAGCAGGTCAAAATATATATAATTATTCTCATTATTCTCATCAGATTGAAAATATGAATGGATCGATCTCTGTGGAATCCAAATTTGATGAGGTATATTATGTACTTAAAAAGGTAATGAAATTGAAACATCATGGTTAATGGCCTTTTATTTTTAAAGATTCGTGCTAGAATTGAACAAGAGCTGAGGGGGAAAGATTCAGGCATTGTAAAGATTAATTTTCCTGCTGGAGAACTTGGCAACCTTAAAGCACGTGAAGATATCCACAATTCCTTTAACGCTGAAAGAATAGGAGATAATCTATTCATCAAAGTAAGTTTCACTATGACTTAAATATCCCTCATACTTTTATTGATTTTTGTATCATTACAGTATAATTCGGGAGGAAAAGAGTACATTCATCGAAAACTTGCAAATTCGCTTGAAAATCAAAATCAAAATTGGTGGACAAGTGTCAACACTATATGTGTAGTCAGAAATAGAGATCTCAGACCTGATGTAGGTGTGTGGTTTCGAAAGCCAACTAATACACAAAGATTTAAACCTCTCATCTATTCATGTCCACCGCCTGACGTTTGGATTGAGGTAATTAATTTATTTTCAGTTTGAAAAAATGTAACCAGTATTGTTTAGTAAAATCATTTAATATTTAGGTATTCTTCAACAATAACAAGGACCGTAATCACGCATTAGACAATATCAATTGGCTTCAGCAGAATACAACTGGTATTGAATTTGTGGCAATAGGTCTTCCTTCTGGAGTGACCTCTTTTCGCTCTAATCCTGAACCCGAAATGATCATGGTTCATGCAACTAGTCAACTGACTCGACCTACCAGAGCACCGTATACATGCCATTGGGATTTAAATTTTAATGAAATATGGTACGAAATGGATTGGAACCAATTTATTACCCTTAGATGTGGCCTAACAATAAACTTTAACGTTGTGCTTGAAGAGTTATTATAGGCTTCTCTCTTGTATATGTATTACATTATTTTTTTCTAATATAAAATGGGTGGTAGGCATTATCTAAAATGGTGAACTTGAAAAAGCATCGCGTTCGAGAAAAAAATTAATCGTAGATAATTATAATTTGCCTCAAATATACATATATTTCAGCTAAAGATCGTGCATTTATTTTTATCTTTTTATATCAATAGATTTCATATATATTAAAATTTTTCTTTGCATTTTCCTGATCTTGGATCAGCGAGATTTCAGTTGTGATTAAACTTTTGAATAAATTCGTCGACTCCACCGTGATAGTGAAAAACTAAAATCATGATTAGACTATCTATATTATTAATATTATTATCTCGTATTTATTATATCAATAAAGAGTTATTTCATTGTTACTCGATCTCCACATGTTTTTCCATTTTCGATCCTGAAACTCGAGTGATATAACTTACAACGCATAAATCATTTTTTTCACGATCTGTAATTGTGATCACATGGGTTGCTCTCTTGGCTCTATGTCACATGTATAAATCGAAGTCACGATCAGATTTACACTCACGAACACGAACACGAAATAAAAAATGAAATTATAACTTTTATTGATAGTAGATAGTGATATTTTTTTCTAAACGCTACATTACAATGTGAAAGGCCGGCCTGTAAAATTATTCGTGGGGTAAGGACATAGAGGGAGGAGTAAGCCGGGATCCTAGTCCCCCTTTACATTGTAAAGAAATGGCAATTCCTTTCCCTACCCCATATTACTGGCTAAGTTATTATTTTACTATCTACCCAAGAACCTATTTTATTTAATGTTCTACCCCTAGAAACGCTATTATTATAATAAAAATTTTTTATCGTCTCCTTTCTAATCTTTCCCACCCCAAGACGAAGAATTTCAACAGATACTGTATTACACATATCGTCTAAAGAATAATTATTTTCCGCCATAATCCTATCAAAAATAATTTTGAATTGGTTCCAGGTTGTTGAGGTAATATTGGAAAATGATAATTGGCTTGAGCCACTGGAAGCATAAGAAGATCGTTGGGAAGAATTAGATGTATGCTCAGGCAGGGTATTAAATTGTTCAGATCTTAATGGGGCTATGGAACCTGTTTCAGTTAAATGATCCATCCGGTCATGAAGAGATTCATAATTGGTGGTAATTCCATTAATAGTTTCAATCACAGTGTTTACCATTGCCATAATTCTCTGTCCTTTGATAATAAATGTGGCATCTCGCGACGTAAGATCCGTGGTTATTCTTTCCACACGTGTATTGAGATCCACAATGATTTGTTGTCTGATGACATATATAGCGAAGCACATGCCAGCTAAAATCAGATGAACACGGATCTTCTTGGTGAGCAATTTCCAAAATGTTGATCGAAGACATCTACATGAAAAAAAAATCCGATGAGACATCAATTAAGTGTGGAGCGCATGGACATTTAACCGCAAATGAAGATACCTTATTTCAATTAAAGCTAAGTAAAATTAAGTTCTGTGATGAATTCGATAGTTTTATTTGAAGATAACTGCAAAATTTTATTAATTGTTTCATGATACTGTATGTGTCAAAGACACTATTATTTTTTGATTTTGCAGAAGGGTTGAAAACAGAAAAAAAATCACATCTTTTATATGGGACATATCGATAGGCATTTATTTCATGTAAAGACTAGAATTTGCTAGAATACGTGAATCACATTGTATGCAAAAAAAAAAATGTATATAAACTTTTCGGTATATTCCCATTATAACAATGAAAAGTGTGTATAAAATATGGTTAATTGGAATATTCGCCACTCTGTCGATTGTAACTTTATTTATAGTGTGAATTCGATACCATCATGCATTTGTGATCAATTAAACCGAACAATGTTCATTCTACCAGTTTTTCGAAATAAAGTTTATTTTTAGCCTGTGCACAATTTAACTAGTACCATGTTAACCTCTCATTATTGACTCTGCATGCCATGTTATCTCAAACACATGCTCTGATCACAGGAAATAGAAATGTGCTACGTAATATGTAAAAAAATCCGATTAGACATCAATTAAGTATAGAGTGCACGGGCATTCAATTACAAACGAAGATACTATTATGGAGTAATGAAACTCTGTTTCTATTTTGATTAAAGTTAAGTAGATTATTTTTTGTTATAAATTTGTTAGTTTTATTCAAAGACAACTGTAAAATTTTATGAATTAATTATATTGTTTCGCTTTATTAATTTTAGCACCTTGTGCTTGCTCCACTAAATTTGTGTTACATGTAAAGACAGAAGCTATCAGAAACTATTTCAATTTTATTGATCAATTTTTGATACAAGTGAAGATTGGAAGTTATCAGAACAATTTCAATATGATTATAGCCATAATCATGTACATTAAGAATGAACATTAATTCAGTTTAATTAGTGAGATTATGTAATGCTGATAAATCGTGAATTGCCATTAATGATTATGATATTTAAAAATAAAGTTGATATTTTTATGTGTCAGACAGTAACCCCATGCACATTGATCAGATATAATTTCCATTGTGATACTTTATTATAACCACTCTGTATCTGCCTTCAGCAATTATATATTTAATAATGTATTTTTTACTTTGTATTAATAAATAATATTACAATATTGACAATAGCTAAAGCTATATCAGAAAATAATCATGAATTCCAAAATGGTAATACTGTGGTACCTCGCATTATTAAACAAGTGTTAAATAAAAAAATTCAGATCTCTTTTTGTCAATTACTGAAGATAGTGAAACCTGAGATTTATTATAAGATTATAAACTTGATAGCAAATAGTTTTTGGCATAAATTCATTCCATGTAAGGTCAAAAGAAAAAAGAAATTATTAAATAATACAGTATCTAAGTCATCATCTAAGTCTTTGTCCTCATCCTTATCTGGATCTAGCTCTGAATCATCTAGTAGTAATGAAGAGTCAGTTAATATAGTTATAAATAAAGCAGTAAGGAAATGTGATTACTCTTTATCATAGAAACATAATGGTCTTGTCTGTTCAGGATGTTATTCTCGCTTTCTGTAATTTACCACAACATAGTTTTGTACTGGAGAAGTATAGTTGCCACTCAAATGCTTTAGACACTTCCTAGTGATTATATAAGCGTGGGTCATATTTTTAGTCATATGTAATATTATACCATAAATGGCACCTATTTTTCATAAGTATTTAAGAATTAGATTATAATCTTTCAAGAATCTATTGAACCATTTAGTTCCCAGTTTACTTGAATTATACTTGCATGCAAAATTATTTTGAGATCCCGAAATTACAATTTTAAAAAAAAAAGTTGAAATAGTTTTTCATAGAAGATGAAATTATTTTACTTAAAATTCAAAATTTTTTGACTATTCAGATTTATTCTTTGATTGAATATACACATAACTGGATATTTTTTTTACTTCTATATATAGAATAAATTCTACATAAATCTCAAAAAGTTGAAATATATCAAAAATTCAAAATCAATTTTGAAAACATGTATAATTTGGATATCCCATTTGACCAGTAAATATTATATTGTCGCACCAATATGTGGACAAGGGTCTGAAGGATAACTAATATTCTTTAACTAAACTAACTTAAACTACTTAAATAATTCT